ACGCCCGCAAAGGAGCAGCGGGGTACGATTTGCAAAATCCTTTGCAAAAACGTCAACGCCGCACACCGCACACCCAGACTTCTCCCCAATGCTTTAAGGGGCGAACTCCGAGGTGGCCCCGCAAGAAAGGCTCACTATCGTGTGAGTACTAGTCCCCACGGGTCAACGCGCGCCCACTCCATGGGGGGCGCGCTGGGCGAGCAGGGCCCCCAATCAGGGGCAGGACGACGACGCGACCTCACTCAACGACGCAATGGAGAAAGGGGGGGAGAGAATGCAAGAGGCCCCATACGCGCCAAGCTTCTGCGGGGGGGCCACATTACTGTTAGACCTACATCCTGCTGTGCCCACGCTTCGATCAGAGCCCCTCCCTCTCTAGACTCCCTTCGCTTCCTGGACGTGCTGGTCGATGGTCGAAACATGCAGTGTAGTATCCGACACAATTCTTGCACTGCAACACACTGCAACAAAATCCTCTGTAGCACTCAAAGGGCACCTCTGAAATGCCCCCCCCCCCCAGTGAGCGCGCAAGCAGGGGCGAACAATTTCATTAATGTCGCGGCGCGCGAAAGACCCCCATGTCTGCGATAGCGGTCATGCCCCACTGTCCTTTCTCGGGGGGAAGGGGCCATTGAGGAGAATGCTCTAATGGCCTCTGCGGGGCCCTCGTTTTCCACTCGTCGCCCCAGTTGCGGTGCCCATCTGAATGCGCACCTGTCGGTGCTCCAGAAAAAGACGCTTGCATGTCGGCGCGGGCTCCGCTGGCCTGCACTCCGAGATGCCCCCGCCAGCGACGGCCCCTCCGAACTCGCCCGTCGCGGCCGAGGGGGGGCGGCGCCGCGCTGTCCGCCAGGGCCCCCCTCCGAGATACCCTCGTCAGCGCCCCTCCCGGCTGCGGCTCGGCCGCCGCGGCTCGCTCAGCAGGGCCCGCGCCCCGAGAGCCCCTCGCCAGCGGCGGCCCCTCCGAGCTCGCCCGACGCAGCCGCGGGCGCGAGTGAGGGCTCTCACGCGCGGCCGCCGGAGCTAGCCGCCCCACCTGAATCGGCGCACTTCTCGAGAATCTCGGCGCCGCCCAGCGGGGCGCCCGCGTTCTCGCGGCAGCTCCCGACGACGCTGGAGCCTCTCGACCTCCTTCTTCTCGAGCTTCTCGGCGTTCTGCAGCTCCCTTGCGGACGCCCCCGCGACGCCTCGCAGGTTCCCCAGGTCGTTCTCCACGCGATCCGCATCGCAAGCTCGCACTAGCTGCGCGTCGAGAAGCACCTCCTCCTCCCTGCTGCTTGCCACACGTCCACTAGATACTTTGTAATCAGTGCGCAGCCCTTACTTGGCGCGCCAGCGGGAAGACATGGGGGGATCAACTCAAACAGGCCATCTGGGCTCAGCTGCTGGGCTGCGCCGAAGAATTTGCGGCGGTGCTCTCCGATGGCGTCGTCGATCGTCTGCGGCAGCATCTCAGCTGCAAATGCCTCACACCTGCCATCATCGACAAGCCCCACCACCATCGACGGGCCGTCGCGGCGCGGGTGGGCCCGCGACATGCAGCCGATCTCGGGCCACCTCTCGTGGTCCTCGGCGACGTATTTCTTCATATTGTCCACCCATTATGTCATGAGCTTGTCCTGGGGAAGCTCTCCTGGGCAGTCACCAGCGCCTTCCAGTCCACTCTGCACCAGGACTTCCAGCGGTCGCTCCGCGAGTTAGCGCCGGGGCCCCTCCACCACAGCTTGTTGGGGAAGGCTAGCCCGCACGAGCAAGCGCAGTTCTTGTCCTCGCCCCAGCCTGCGCGGCCCCTGCACACATTGTACACCTGCATGTCGTCGCTCCACTTGTCCACAATTTCAAGCGCCTTCAGGTACTGGGTCTCCTGCGCACCCATGTTTTTGCACGTCGTGTAGTCGCCGTGCTCCTGCACCTCCTTCTACTTCTCTTCCAGCGCTTGCCTGGCTGCCTTCAATGCTTCCCTGTCCCCCATGTCCAGGACCATGTACTCGCGCAGCATGATGTCGCGCTCCTCTGCGCACTTCATGGCGACCACCCCTTCCCCCTGCCTTGCTGAAGGCCGCGAATATGCCCCCGTTCTTCTCGATGCCGTCCACCAAAGCTTTCGACGCCTCCCTGGACCGCTCGAGGACCTTCTTGTCTTCCCGGTTGCGCGATTTCCTCTGCGGTCGCACCTCCGCGTGAATGCTCGCCGTCGCAGCCTGGATTCGCCCTAAAGATTGAGCCGTCCACGCTAGGCCCTTTGAGCGCCGCTTCTGATCACGGCACACTTGTCCTTGTGTGATGTACTTCTCTCCCCCATGGCGAAGATTCTCCGCGTCGCCCCACTCGGATCACCCCTCGCGCCTGAGGGCCAGCTCGCAGTTGACGCACGCCCTCTTCCACTGGCCCCCTCTTCCTCCTGGGTATTGTTCACGCCCTGGCTCACTATTGGTGCGCCCCCTGTTGCTCCCCATCATACTGTAGTGCCCGTGCCCTTCGCCGCATCGGCCGCATGGCTCACGCTCGTCGCTGCTGGCAAAGGCCACGGGCAGCCCAATGCGCCCTGCACTCCGAGATGCCATCGCTAGTCCACGTTCGCACCATGGCTGCGGTTGAACCAGATGGGCCGTGGGAGCCGATGCTAAGCGACGGGGGTTCGTCTCCTCTCTGAAAGCCCGCGCCGTGCCCAATAGTTCCCAAAGATACCTCGTAAGTGTCTGGAGTCGGGGCCCACTCCTGAACCCACTTCTGTCCGTGACTCATCGCAACATGTACGAAGCCTGCTTGATGCCTGCAAGATATGCAAAGGCCCCGAAAACACGCCGCATCGCCACAAATGTGAATGACCACATGGAGATGGGGGGGGCAAGTAGGGCAACGCTGAGAAATGTCGCGTCGTCACACTTGATGACGCAGGCAACCGAACTGGATGGGAGGACTGGCTGCTGTCTGGGACACCTCGCCTCAGGGCGTTCCTTTGCAACTCTGCCCCCCGTTCAGCCCGTTCGGGGACATGTGTCTGAGCTTAGTGAGGCGATCAGCATCCACGGTGATTGCGCAACAATTTCCTCGCTGGAAAAATGTCGTCTCGCTTGTCCGCCCTCGGGCGCCCCTGAGAGGCCCGCCTGCGCTGGGGGGGGGGGGGGGGGCATCTTGAGGGGCGGCGCCCTCAGAACTCGGCGTGGTGGCCTTCTCGGAGGGGGTCGTGGAAGTGCTTGCCCGCGCCAGTCGCGGTCGGGCACAAGGCGCCGGGGTTCTTGCACCCCGAGATGCCCTCGCCAGCGCCTCCGCCCCCTCTTCTCCTAGCGGCCCGACGCTGGCGTTCGCGCCCCACTACCCTCTCCAACTCCGTCTTGGGCGACGCCGACTGGGACTTCTTGCCGCCCACGAACACGATCAGCACCCCCACTGCTTTCTTCAGAATATGGCCCGAGAACTTGTCCAATTTCTCCAGAATCTCCTCGCCCGTGCCTTTCGGGGGCGCCGCTCGGAAGTTGGGGGCCGCGTTGATGCTGATCTGGATATTGCCCATGCCCCCCCCCCCCCCAGAACTGCCCGCCCTCGTTCGAGTTATTGTTCATGCTGTTGCGAGCTTTGTAGCTCTCGCTGACCTTGCACAGCTCGATCGCCTCGGTGACCGTGGCCCGGCCGCAGGCGTTGCTGCCGTTCGCCAACACCAGGAAGTTGTTCTGCGCGTCGATCGCCCAGACCATAGATGCTTCCACCAATGCAGCGCCCTCTTTCTGCCGTTCCGCCACCGTCTCCGGGGTGCCTCCCATTAGCGAATTTCTCGCGAGGGCGCCCGGCGGTCCGAGCAAGTGCCCCTTGACCCGCTCCCTGACCAGGTTCCCGCGGCGGCGGCCCGCTGCCGCTGACATCCGAAACGCCCACGCGCTGACCGGGGCAAGGTAGAAGCCCGCGGCCAGGCGATTCATCTCTCGCATCTCTGCCGCGGATCGGAGGGCTAAGCGTTGCAGTCCGATGATGGCCGCTCTAAAACGGGCTCCTCGTAGTCGCCAGTTGACTGGGGTCGCTGGCGGGGGAGCCTGCAGCATCGCCCCCCGTCCTCGCCGCCCCCCCCGCGCCGCGGCCGAAGGCGCGCCCCCTGCCGCCTCGGCACTGGCCGCGCCCATTGCCCACTGGCCCTCGCCCTCGCCCTCGCCGCCCTCGCGGCGCTTCGGCCCTCCTCTATCCCTGCGCCGCCAGCGCCGCCGCGGTTGCAGATTGCGCCCCGAACTCCTGCCCCTGCAGCACCCTGCCCCCGGTCGCGCCAAAAAGAAATAAAGAGATCGCCCCTACCGGTGACCGCTGGCAGGGTAGCGCCCCATATCTGTCCAGCGCGGCGAAATATACTGAGGCCCGTGCCAATCCAAGCTTCCCAATCCGTTGTACCAGTTTGGAACATGGAGATTTCGGAGTGCCTCTGCGAATACAATTTCGCTACGCCCTCGCTGATCTTCGCCAGTGCCGGAAATTCTGCGACAACCTGCTGAGCCCTGGGCGTCGACGCCATGCATGTCCATCCATTTCCCAGTCGCTCGCGATTCCGCGAGTGCGATCCAGTTTCGACGTTCTAGATACCGCCGCACGCACACTGCCAAAGTCCTCTGGGCGCCGCGCCCATTGCAGGTGCAACCGTAGCCTGCGGATTCGCACTGAAGCAGCGCAGCGCGGCATCCTCCGCCGTTTGAATACCTCATCGTTGGAGTAGCATCTGGTAGATCCATCCTCTTGGGCCCAGCTCACCCTGCCTCCTGCCATCCGTCACAGCAGCACCGCCACGGCGCGGTCTAGCGCGCCGCAGTGGCGGCCCTCGAATACAAATGCCGACACCCCACTAAGGCCCGCGCCCGAAACACAAGTCTGGCACATGTCTTTCTTGATTTTGTCCGAAGTATTTGAGGACCAGAAGCGCCCGGACTGCCTGCAGGCTATTTGCGCGACATCGCACATTCCTCGGATCTCTCCTGCATAGCCTTGATCACCAGGCAAGTAGGGCCCCAGCGCCCGCATCTCCCTCATCGGCGCGCCTGCGAGCCGCCCTTCCCGTTGGAGCTGGCGCGGAACTCCGTCTCGCCATGGGCCCCATAGAGAAACCGGGCGGTCGGTCTCGACTGGGTTGAGGCCCCACCGCCCAATGGCCAACTTGCGCTCAAGGCGCTTGGCGCCATTGTCCCACGTAGATATCGCAAGTGTCATAAACTGCCGCGGGCACCGAATGAAATCCCATCTGCGCGCCCTGGGCGGTCAGCGCGCGGGCCCAGTCGCCCGCGCGTTCCATGCAGCGCCGCGTATTTTATCGCCTCGATCGCAATGGGATGGTTCTCCTCCTCCTTCGACGCAGCAAAGGCTGAGGCCAGCAGGAGGCGTCGCTTCGTGCTCGCGAAGGCGTTGGCGCAGTCGTCGGTACTGGCAATGGTGCTGATCCCTCCCTGCCTCGCTCTCCATTGCGCATCCTCGACGCAGGGCATCACGTCGTCCCTTGACCTATCCCGAAGACCGCCCTGTGCCAAGCAAAGGCGGCGCGGTGCTCTTCCTCTGCAGTGGATTCCCTTATGAGAGGCCATTCCCATTAAGCAATGCGCACGCGTAACTCTTTTGCCACCCATGCCTTGTTTGTCATCGCCTTTCCCTGCAGAAGAAAAAAAATCGACCTGTGTCAGTCCAACGGCGCGGCTGGTGACTGGCGACACTTGATGAAGATGTCCTCCAGCTTGCCCCTGCACTCCAGACTTGTATCCCCCTCAATCGCTGGCGACCCCCGCCCAGCCTTCACATGCCTTCCTAGGTGGCACGCTTGCCCCTCGCTCGCTCGCAGCGCATCCCCATCGTCTGCTCGCTCCGTCCGCCCCAACGCAATGCCCCCCCCCCCCACCCCACCCCCCACCCACCCCACCCCACCCACCCACCCGCACGCCACACGCACACACACACACACACACACCAACACACACACACACACACACACACACACACCACACACACACACACACACACACAACACACACACACACACACACACACACACACACACACACACACACACACACACACACAACACACACACAACACACACACACACACACAACACACACACCATCCGCAGAAGTATCGCCCTGCCGGCATTGCACTTCTGGAGGGAGCTGTGCTTGGCCGCGCACTCGTCGTCCTCGCGTTGCTCCGCTGCCTGAATTCTCTACCCCGTCCAGCTTGCTGCCCAGCAGCTCTGGGCCCTCCACGTTGACCGCTGGATCCAAATCACCCAAGTGAGTTCCACTGGGACGCCCCATGGGGGGAACAGCCCTCCTTCTGCCAGCTTTCTCGCAGTGCTTCAGCTTGCCCCGCTTGCCCCTTTCAACCTGCGCCCTCAAATCTCCACCCAGTGGGAGCGGCATCTTCTCGGCGGCCATCTCATCGCGCTCCTTATCATGCCCCTCTAAGTCCAGTAAGTCCAGCGGCGCCGCAGCCAAGCCCACATCGCGAGCCACTCCTTCATGCGCCACCAAGCGCGCCGGAAAATAATACCTCTTCTTTGGCCCTCCCCCATTCCGCTGGCACTCGATACGTAGTCTACGCATCTCGCCGGGGTCGTTGTTCTCGCACGCTAGGTCGTTCCTACGCCTCCGATGCACATTCTGGCTATTCGCTGGCTCCTCTTTGACTTCCTCCAGCCTCTCGTTCGTACCTGAATCTACCGCGTCCACTCGCAGGCGCATCCGCTCGGCCAACAAGGATCGCCGCTTCTTCTTGACTGGGAAGAGATCATGCATTACTCTTCTGCCAGCCTCACTCAAGCGCTCCCGCATCTGGTCTGCTGCGGGGCGGTCTTGGGGCTCCATCCATTCCGCTTCCACGGCTCGCTCATCAGGGCGCGCACTCCGAGATGCCCTCGCCAGCGGCGGCCCGTCCGAGCTCGCCCACCGCGGCCGGGGGGGCGGCGCCGCGCCGCCCGCCTGGGTCGCACTCCGAGATACCCTCGCCAGCGCTCCCCCTGGTTGCAGGTCGGCCGCCACGGCTCGCCCAGCAGGGTCCGAACTCCGAGATTCCCGCGCTAATGGCGGCCCCTCCGAGCTCGCCTGTCGCGGCTGAGGGGGCGGCGCCGCGCCGCCCGCCTGGGTCGCACTCCGAGATGCCCTCGCTAGTGCCCCTCCTGGCTGCGGGTCGGCCGCGGCCCTCAAGCGCTGGTCAAATGCTCCCAGGAGCTCTGCTCGCAGACGCCCATACGCAAGCACTCCATCAGCATGTTGCGGTCCAAATATTTGTCCGCCCTGCGCTGCCTGGGTCGGCTCACGACATGACAGTGATGTTCTGACCCAATGTCCAGACCCAGAGGAATGTGGTCTCGGTGTCCCTTCGCCTTGATAAGTTGAAACTGTTTGGCTACTCCTCGCAGAGCTGCACACCGTCGCGCGTGCGGTAGGGCCCCGGTCGGTATCGCAATGTTGTCGAGATTGCTCGCGTGTGCCTTGCCGTCATTGACACAGTAAGGTCGGCCCGCGCCCGCGAAATGTCGCGACTACTGACAATAAGCTGCGCACACAAAACACTTCCTGAATGCTGCACCGTTGTCATTTTCCATTTATCTTGCAACAGGCCCCAGTAAGGCTGAATGTTTGGCCGAAGAGTGCCTGCTGATCATCAAATCCCTGATCTCCGTCCTGCACATTCCCAATTGACTGTTGGTATCTCCCCCAAGACGATTGTAGATCTGCCACCAGTCTCATCACACCGCTCTTCCACCAATTTCATGATTTCTGAATATGGAAATATTCCCGTAATTAGCGTACCCCTTCTCAGGTGGCAAGTACGTCGCAACTAAAGTGACATCGTAAGCCTTGGTGCGCAACCGCACTCCCGCTGTTCACCCTGGAAGCTGAGCAGGTGAGGTGTACTGCGTGTGGAGCGCTTTGTCCTTCATTACCTCGTGGGACACCATGAAAGTCGCTCCGCATGTTTGAGAAACCCATTGCCCCTTTTTGGCCCCAATTTGCAGCGCCACATGGTACCTACGGCTGGTTGTCTTCATCGGTTCTGGACCTGCCCACTGATGCGTCCCAATCAGCACAATCACATCCCATTCCTGTAATGCTCAGCTAATTTCATCCAGTCGGTCCGTAGTACTCGCCGCAAGCGGGTTGTAAAAGACCAGCTTCATCAATGCACAGATCGGGACCCAAGCGATCGCCATCCGTCCTTCATTCCCCCTTACTCCCTCTCTGGCCCGTAAAAAATGTGAGCGAGTTTCCGTGAAAATCCTCCTTCCGTCGGGGCTCCAAGTGCCTGAGCTCCAACGCCGACTAGGAGGAGGAGGAGGAGGAGAAAGGCTGACGCCTCGAGCGCTCGCTCCCGCGGCACACCCAAGAAAGGGCAAGGGCGCCAGGGGTAGGAGGAGGCGCGCCCAGCCACACGGGGGCCGAGCGCTGGGAACACACGTGTGGCCGCGTGCGTGCCCAGCTCTCGCCCAAGCCGGCCGCGTCGTGCGTGTCCAGCTTCCTGGTACGTTCCTCGACACGTCGTCGTCGTCGTCGTCGTCGTCGTCGTCGTGGTCGTCGTCGTGTGCGATCGCGCACCTCATGTGAACTCGTGTGTTTGTGTATGTGCGTGCTTGCGGGGGCGCCCTCCGCTGCCCTCCCGTCGGCTTCGCCTCCGTGTGCCTCCGCCTTCTGAAGCTTGGGCGCTCCGCTGCCGCTGCCTTTTTCGTCCGCGTCGTGAGGTGCCTTCGCCACTGGCTCCAGTCAGCCGCACTGTGTGTCCGCCGCACGTCGGCCGTGTTGGCGCTCCGCCCAGTCCTGTAACACACGCGCCCCTACGTGACATCATGCGCGATGCGCGTTTCTAGTTCCACGGCGCTCCTCAGTGCATGCGTAGAGCGGATCCCCAGGGCCCTGCAGCCCCCAGAAACACACGTACCACGCACGCGCACTCGTCGCGGATTTTGTCTGTGCTGGTGGCCCCACCGCTCTGGCACTGAGAATAGCACAACCCAACCCCACCCCCAGCCAGGATCCCCACTCCCGACCTGGTGATCCAAGGGGTCCTGGCTGGGGGTGCGGGTGCCCAATGATTAACCAGAACAGGACCCCTGACGATTTGGGACGGACCTCGATCAGGAGGGCCTTAAAAATTCGGGATAGGGGGTCTTTTCTGCAGATGTGTCGAGCCAAACCGCCCAAAAAAATCATCCCTGATGCGAGAAAAGGAGACCTAAGTGAGGCCACGTCTTCACTGCGTGAACAGGGTCAGGGGCTCTTCTCTTCTCGACGACCCAGGAGCCCCGAAAAGCCTCTCCCCCACCCCCGGCTGGGGGCCCCCCTGGACTACCAGGTCGGGAGCGGGGGGCCTGGCTGGAGGTGGGGGTGGGCTGTGCTGTCCTCGGGCAGCGACCGCACCTCCAAAGGCTCCCCAGACCACCCGGGAGAAGGGGCCCAGAGGATTCTTCCTCCTCCTCCTCCTCCTCCTCCTCTCTCCTCCTCTCCTCCTCCTCCTCCTCCTCCTCCTCCTCTTCCTCCTTCTCCTCCTCCTCCTCCTCATCATCATCCTCCTCGGGACCAAGGAACACATGCAGGTCGTGCAAGTCATGTGAGTCCACGTGGCTCCTCCACTCCCGTGGCACATGCACCTCACGCCATAACACGTGTGGTGCGGACGCTCCCAGCGTTCACAGCAACCTGCCCTACTAATAAGTCAGGGGAAGTTCGGTCGCCCTTGCAGGTCGATGGGGACGACGAGCGCTTCGCATTGCATCAGCAAAGACCCCACCATGAACGATCACTCGCCTGATCCGAGAAACGATGTATGATTCATCAATTGTTGCAAGGATTCGTTATGTAAATCTGCCCCCTCAGAAGACAGATGCAAATCTACCACAGAACGATCCTGTTGAAAAATGAACCCTGCGAGACCACACTTAGGGAAAAGCTTCTGGTTGCATGGGCGTTGTGCTTGTCGCTGCTTGGAAGTAGTGGCACTGCTTGGCGGTGCTTGACGTTGCTTGCAACTCCGTGGCGTTGACTTACATTGCTTGGCGAGTATGGACATTGCTCGGCGTTGCTTGGAGCTGCTTGGCGTTAATTGGCATTGCTTGGTGTTGACCTAATTAGCAGCCCGAGGAACGTACAGCGAGAAAACAAAGCCAAGGATCCCCGAGGAGCGCTCAGGAAGGAAGCAAGACCAATCAACACGAGGAACGCGCAGGAAGGAAACGAGGCCAAGGAACTCGACGGAACGCGCAGCCCGAGGAACGCACCGGACGGAAGCAAGACCAAGGAACCCCGAGGAACGCACAGCAGGGAAACAAGACAAAGGGACTCCGAGGAGCGCCTGCGGGCGTAGGCCTCGCACCCACCGGTTATTCAAAAAGAAATAAGAATCCCGTAGGCAAAGCCTGATTGGGGAAGAACACTTTACATACATAGGAGCTGCAGAAGCTAGCCCTCCCCCTGAGGGAACACGAATAGGCAAGGGACGATGTTGTGAACAAGCGTTCAGGAATCCGTCGATGCTTCACCCTGGGAGGTGCGAAAGAATGCACGACATCTTTGCACACGAGCTATGAAGCATACAAAACTACACACACACACGAGTACACACAAAAGAACACACACACACACACACACAAACACACACACGCGCGCGAATATGCATACGACCGTGCTTGCCCACGTGTGCACAGATCGACATCAGATGCGTGCACATCGCCAGTGGGGCCAGAGCTCCCGCCTGCTGGCGCAGCGACCTCCTGGGCGCGCGCTGGCGTTGGCACCGGCTGCGCAAGGGAGGAGTACTGCCGGTGCAGCCGGTCCAGCGACGCGAGCTGGGGGGCCAGGTAGTCCTTGCAGCGGGGGCGGAGCGGCGGAGGCCAACGCCTGGCACGAGGAGCGGGTCACGCTCCCTGCATGTGGCACCGTGCTGCTCCCAGAAGTGGTGGCAACTGTAGCGATAAGGATGCAAACGGCAGCAATACAACGATAACGGTGACGAGATAACGACAACGACAGCGATAACGACAGGGACCCCGACACGCTGTTGTCGACGTTGTCGTTATCGTTGCCACGTGCGGACGCAGACGGGCAGCCAGGTGCCTGCTGGCACAAGAACGACAGGCGACGGCCGTGGGACAGGCTGCCACATCTTCAACGTGGCAGTGTGAAGGGGCCCTGGGACACACAAATCAATAGACACAAATAACAGCATTCCCCATATTTCCCATATTTTCTGGGTTTTCGTCTTCCCCCCACTTCCCATATTTTCCCCTTCTTCTGGGCAATCGACGGTTAATTGTGTCTGTGTTTTTTCCCGTCCTGATAGTGTCACCTCGCCCTCAGACCAGATTCGGGGTGAGACAACCCCCGAGGTGGTGAGGCTGTCGTGACGTCGCGTGCCTCAGCTGCGAGAGGACGGAGGCAGGATGACGAGGAGGAGGCGGACGACGAGGACAGGGCACGATAAATTACGATGAGAAGAGAGAAGGAAGATGAGGATGATTACGAGGAGGACGACGACGGCGAGGACGAGAAGGCGAAGGCGGAGGCGGAGATGACGTGGCTGTGAGGGGTAGACTGTGCATCACCGAGGGCGGAGAAGGAGGCGGAGGAGGAAGAAAAACAGGATCAGCACGGGCAGGACGACGACGACGACGACGACGACGAGCAGCAGGAGCTCCACAGTTCAGATTGGTACTCCAGTATACCACTACGCTTACCAGCAGTGGCACGCGTGCCACAGCTGCACGCCTACGGTGCAATCCTTGCTTGTCGGGCCAAGCATTGGGAGGAGGAGGAGCAGGAGGAGGAGGAAGAGGAGGAGGAGGAGGAGGAGCAGGAGGCGGAGGAGGATGACGAGGACGGAGCGGAGGAAGGGCAGCAGCGTGAAGAACACCGGTGGATGGACCTGGAGCCCGAAAACAGCCCCGAGAGACCGAATCTGGAACAGAATTCCTAGAGGCCTCCCGGATGGGATCGGAGTAAATGGGGTCGGAGGATCTCGCCGCATCGCCGGCGTGGGCAAAATCGGGCTCCACATCGAGCCGCATCGTCGATGCATCGGCGATGCGGCGCGATCCTCCGACCCCGTCTGCTCCGACCCCATCTGCTCCGACCCAAGCTGGGAGGCCTAGAATTCCAGGGCCGAAACAGATCAAGACATCGGAGGTCTGGAGGACGAAGGGCGGGCAGGGGCAGGGGAACTGCCGGCCGCCCTGCGGCGCCACCATGTGCCCAGTGCCTCGCGAGGCCCAGGGGGATCAGCTTCCCAGGCGGTGGACACAGACAAAGTCACCGCCTCGGACCCATGCTGGCTAGCAAGGCCTGGGGCTGCACACAGAGCCGCCCAGGCTGGGATCAGCAGGCCCCCGCGGCAGTCCAGGGCGATCTCCACACCCGTGCTGCCTCTGGCAGTGCCCCCGGGCACGAAAGATGATCCTAGATGTCTAACAATGGTGTAATATCCGAACGTATGTCCTAATAATAAATAAACTGGCTCAGTGAATAAAACGATAACGTATACTGATAAAACATGACTGAACATTGAAAAGATAAATACGTGAACGCATGAATAATCACATGAATAATAATAGTAATATTAATAGCAGTAATAATAAGAATAAACAGAAGAAGAGGAAGAACTATAATAAAAAAAGGGTGATGATGATGCGAATGATGACGATGTTAATAACTGTGATGGTAATGATAAGAATGATGCTATTTGTATTGATGATAAATTTAGTTAGGTAAAATGATAAATTACTTGATAAGAAAAATAATGATGAGGATAATGATGAGGATACTTATAAAGATAATGATAATAGTTATCACCCTAATGAACTTTTTAATAACAAAAAAAAATGCAAAGTCCCACAGGGGAGGAGGAGGAGCCCGAGACCGCCCAGTCCGGAAGCGGTCTGGCTGCCGTTCCGCCCGAGCCGCTCTCACAATGTATTCCGGACTCGTGCTCTCGCCCCAGCGCCGGCTACATGTTTGCATCGGACGGCCACGATCCCTTGTCAACACGATCGGCCCACCAACCAGGGGAGCATGCCAGGGGGACGCGCCGCGGAACCTCCAAGGGAAGGCGCCGGTGGATGTGCCAGGGGACGTGCCATGGGGACGCACCGCGGGGCGTGCCAAGGGGACGCGCTACGGAACGTGCCAATGGACGTGCCACGAGACGTGCCAGGAGACGCGCCGCGCGATGTGCCAGGAGGACTCGCCACAGGACGCGCCACGGAACGTGCCAGGGAACGTGCCAGGCGACGAGCCAGGGGACGTGCCAGGGAACGTGTCAGGGAACGTGCCTCGGGAGCCGCGCTCCCAGGCAAGCCCCTTGTTCTGCTTAGAAAGACCGCTTGCCTCCCCCCCGCCCTCCCCCCCCCCGACACCGCAGAATCAGAAAGGGGCAGCGCACAGCGGACCCATGAACGAGGCTATTACGACGGGACCGCGCTCCCAAGGCCACGATCTCTCGCAAATTAAGCTGCGCCCGCTCTCCCTGGGCCACGATCACTCGTAAACTACGCTGCATCCGCGCTCCCAAGGCAACGATCCATAAAAATCACGCGGCGTCCGCGCTCTCGGGCTGGATTTGCGCTTTCAGGGGCACGAGTTGTTTGGAAAGCATCCAGAAGTCGCGCTCCAGGGCAACGATCCCTTGTAAATTACACCGGGTTCGCGCTCCGACGGCAACGACCCCTCGTAAACTACACTGGGTTCGCGCTGGGCCACGATCCCTTGTAATTTACGCTGCGTCCGCGCCACCAGGGCCACGATCCCTCGTCGATGACGCTGTGTACGCGCCCCCAGGGGCAGAGACCACGGGGCGGAGGGGGCGGAAGGGGGCGGGGGGGGGGGGGGCACGGTCGGTCGGTCGGAATGCGCAGACGGCAGGCCACGGGGGAAGGGGAGCCGGGGGGACGGGAGGGCCGGCTGGGCACAGGGGGGGGGGGCACGGTCGGTCGCTCGGAGAAACAGACGGGTGGCCCGGGGCGGAGGGAGGCGAGGGGGGAGCAGGGGGTCGGTCAAGGGGGGGAGGGGCACGGTCGGTCGTTCGGAGGAAAACAGACGGGGGCCACGGGGCGGAGGGGTGTGCGGGGGGGGAACAGGGGACGGGAGGGCACGGCTGGGCACAGGGGGAGGGGCACGGTCGGTCGCTCGGAGGAAACAGACGGGGGCCACGGGGCGGAGGGGTGCGGGGGGGGAGCAGGGGGTCGGTCAAAGGGGGGGGGCACGGTCGGTCGTTCGGAGGAAACAGACGGGGGCCACGGGGGCGGGGGGGAGGGGTGCGGGGGGGGGAACAGGGGACGGGAGGGCACGGCTGGAACAGGGGGAGGGCACGGTCGTCGCTCGGAGGAAACAGACGGGGGGCCACGGGGCGGAGGGTGCGGGGGGGGGGGCCAGGGGGACGGGAGGCACGGCTGGGCACAGGGGGGGGGGCACGGTCGGTCGTTCGGAAGAAAAGCAGACGGGGGCCACGGGGGCGGAGGGGTGCGAGGGGGGGGCAGGGGGACGGGAGGGCACGGTCGGTCAAAGGGGGGGGGCACGGTCGGTCGTTCGGAAGAAAAGCAGACGGGGGCCACGGGGCGGAGGGGCGCGGGGGGGGAACAGGGGGACGGGAGGACACGGCTGGGCACAGGGGGAGGGGCACGGTCGGTCGCTCGGAAGAAACAGACGGGAGCCACGGGGCGGAAGGGCGCTGGGGGGGAGCAGGGGAACGGGAGGGCACGGTCGGGCAAAGGAGGGGGCACGGTCGGCATCGGACAACAACAGCAGCAGCAGCAGCAGCAGCAACAGCAACAACAACAACAACAACAACAACAACAACAACAACAACAACAACAACAACAACAACAATTACTAGCACGTGGGGACACTCCGTTCTCACCAGTGCCAGGGTTTTCATACGACGCCCGCCAATACCCCCACTTTGTGGGGGGGCCGGTTCAAGCTCTACCACATTTCCAAACGACTCTTCGCCACCACCCACACCCAGCTTCCCGCCCTATGACGTTCGGACACTTCACTTCGTGGCCTGCGGACGACCGTGGCTACTACACTGGCGCATGGGTACAGTGACTTGTTGTGGTAACATTTTCTGGACGCTAGCTTAGTATACGACTTTTCCCCCTGTTCCAACACTGGACACCTGTACTGGTTTTTGGTGGTAACGTGTTCCTGACGCTAGAATAGGAAACCACGGTAAACCAGTACGACGCCGGTACTGTCTGTAGGTCCTACAATGATATGGACTGCTTTGGCTGGTGAGGCGCTAGCGTCTGATACGACGTTTTTCCGTTTCTGTACCACACAAGCGAAGACACTTATTTTGAGTGGTACCACGTGGGTGGCGCCAGCATACCACAGGACTTGTTTCCGTTGTTGTGAGACGATACATGCTCATTCTTGTTCTGTGGTTGTCGTTCCGGCCTCAATGTGCAATACTGGCTCATTCGTCTACGAAATACACGTGAGTAGCTCTCTCTGGTTGGAGGTCCTGATGGTTGTGGTTGTCCCGATGGTTGTCGCGATGATTGTCCCGATGGTTGTCCCGATGGTTGTTCCGATGGTTGTCCCGATGGTTGTCCCGATGGTTGTCCCGATCGTTGTCCCGATGGTTGTCCCGCATGGTATTATTTGACAGGGATGATGGCCCTGGCAGGTGCGCAACCGTTGTTGGAGAAGTTCGAAGCACGTGAAAAAGTTGCTCGCAAAAGCCCGTTTGACAGAAATGTTTAAAAAGTGTTGGGTTTCCTACAAATCCGCAAGAGCGCGCGGGATGAAATTTTGACACTTTTTTTTTGAAAAAACATTGTTTTTTTGATGTTTTTATGTTAAAATCGCTACGAACACTAAGGTTTTGGAAGGATTTCGTCTTGCGCGCGCGAATGTCCACTTTACCTTATTTTTTGCAAGGGATTCTTGAAGTTTGGTTATGTTAGAACAAGAAATGTCCACTTTGCCTTATTCTTTGCAAGGGAAAACCGCCCGTAACAAAACAACCGGATCCGGACCAACCCGTTTTGCCGGAGACTTCCTCACGAAAATGATGAAAACATGGCTGCGGCCTAGGCGCGGCGAGGGGGCCGTGCACCAGGGGCCCCAACAATAATTATTCCTTAGAAGTAATAATGTTCAACAACAACAACAACAACAACAACAACAACAACAACAACAACAACAACAATTTACTAGCACGTGGGGACACTCCGTTCTCACCAGTGCCAGGGTTTTCATACGACGCCCGCCAATACCCCCACTTTGTGGGGGGGCCGGTTCAAGCTCTACCACATTTCCAAACGACTCTTCGCCACCACCCACACCCAGCTTCCCGCCCTATGACGTTCGGACACTTCACTTCGTGGCCTGCGGACGACCGTGGCTATACACTGGGCGCATGGGTACAGTGACTTGTTGTGGTAACATTTTCTGGACGCTAAGCTTAGTTGGTAAACATTTTATGTTGCGCGGTGCTAAAATCCTAAGAAACCCAATGGTTTTTGAAGATTTCGGCGTGCGCGCGCGAAGAAAAAACGAATGTGTCCCGCATGGTATTATTTGACAGGGATGATGGCCCTGGCAGGTGCGCAACCGTTGTCGCAGAAGTTCGAAAAAGTTGCTCGCAAAAGCCCGTTTGACAGAAATGTTTAAAAAGTGTTGGGTTTCCTACGAATCCGCAAGAGCGCGCGGGATGAGATTTTGACAATTTTTTGTTGAAAAACCATTGGTTTTTTGATGTTTTTATGTTAAAATCGCTCCGAACACTAAGGTTTTGGAAGGATTTCGTCTTGCGCGCGCGAATGTCCACTTTACCTTATTGTTTGCAAGGGATTCTTGAAGTTTGGTTATATTAGAACAAGAAATGTCCACTTTGCCTTATTTTTTGCAAGGGAAAACCGATCGTAACAACACAACCGGATCTGGTACACATTGTTTTGCCTGAGACTTCCTCACGAAAATGATGAAAATGAAGCTGCGGCCTAGGCGCGGCGGGGGGGCCATGCACCAGGGGTCCCAACAATAATTATTCTTTAGAAGTAATAATGTTCAACAACAACAACAACAACAACAACAACAACAACAACAACAACAACAACAACAACAACAACAACAAAAGGGGCCACGGGGCGGAGGGGTGCGTGGGGGGGGGGGCGGCGGGACGAGAGGGCACGGTCGGGCAGAAGGGGGGCACGGCCAGTCGGTCGGGATAAGCAGACGAAAGCCACGGGGCGGAGGGGTGCGAGGAGGGAACAGGGGGACGGGAGGGCACGGTCGGGCAACGGGGGGGGCACGGTCGGTCGTTCGGAAAAAAATGCGGCGGGAAAGGGGAAAGCACGGTCGGGCAGAGAGGGACACAGTCGGTCGGTCGGAAAAAGCAGACGGGGGCCACGGAGCGGAGGGGCGCGGGGGGACAGCAGGGGGACGAGGGGGCACGGTCGGGCAGACGGGGGGCACGGTCGGTCGGTCGAATAAAAACAGACAGAGGGCCACGGGGCGGAGGGGCGCGGGGGATGGGGCAGACGGGGGGGGCACGGTCGCCGGTCGGTCGGTCGGAATACGCAGACGGGGGCCACGGGGCGGAGGGGCGCGGGGGGGAGCAGGGGGACGGGAGGGCACGCCGGGCAGAGGGGGGGGGAGCACGGTCGGTCGGTCGGAAGGAAAACGGACAGGGGGCCACGGGGCGGAGGGGTGCTGGGGGAAAACAGGGGGACGGGGGGGCACGATCGGGCAGAAAAGGGGGGAAACAGTCGGCCGGTGGGAATGAGCAGACGGGGGCCACGTGGCGGAGGGGCGCGGGGGGAGGGGGCAGGGGGACGGGAGGGCACGGACAGCACACATCCCAGCACGTACCCCAGCACACGGAAGCAGCACACAGACCCGCACACATCCCGCACACGAAAGCAGCACACGTCCCGGCACACGTCCCAGCACACATCCCAGTCCAGCACACGTCCCAGGCACGGTCGGCCGGTCGAAATAATGCAATGCGAGATCACACTGGTAGGTATGATAGTAAGACTGCGTCTGCGCTCCCAGGGCCACGACCCCTTGTGAATTACACTGCGTCCGCGCTCCGTGGGCCACGACCCCTGATAAACTGCGCTGCGTCCGCGCTCCCAGAGCCTCGCTCCCTTGAAAACTACGTTTAGGTCGGGCATGTCCGCCTACAGGCGGATTTGGGACGGGAAAACAATATCCAAAATTAACAGGAAATGCGTTTCAGGACTATGTTTTACTATGTTTGACAAGTCCCCCCGTAGAGGGACACGCCCGACTTGAAATTACGCTGCGCACGCGCTCCCAGGGCCACGTTGCCCAATAAATTACGTTGGGTTCGGGCTCCCAGGGGCGCCCATGCCGCTCAAGCCCTGCAAAACAAACCGGATATTCAGTGCGCAGGGCGCGGCATCCTCGAGCGGGCACGCAAAAATCAAACTTCCCACATATTCTCACGAATTGCACAGCCTCCAGACCTCGTGCTTTTTATACCAGATTCTGAACAAAACGCTCCGCATCTTTTTTGTGTGGGAAAACGTGTCTGGGGACCCCGTGATTCATCGAGAATTCAGGATCAGGGGGCACATTTTCCTCGAGCGGGACCGCGCGAAACGCATGTTTCAAAACAGCAAAAAAAAAACTTCACATCGCTACTCATCGCTATTCAAGTCAAGGCCCGGGGTAAAACATCCAAAAGAGAACCATGGACCGATGCCCTTTCCAGGAAAAATACGATCAGGTGCACGTAGCCTCGACAGCCTACTCGTCGACCCGCCCCTTCACCTTTGCTGCAGGGCGCTTCGCTTGGGTAAGGTTGTTGTTGGTGGTGCTCTTTCGGCCACCTGGGAAGCCCGAATCTGACCACCATCACCGGGATCGGGATCATCCGTCCTCAGTGGATATGTTTTCCCCCGCGCTCACAGGCTGGGCGGGTGCCTCGCGACCACCTGCGGACACTGCAGCCCCTAGGGTCGCAGGAGCAACACGAGCCTCCGCAGCCCCAGGGCCCCCAGCCGCAGGAGGAACTCGAGCCTCCGCGACAGCAGTGCGGCGCAGGAGGAGCACGAGCCTCCGCGCGAAGAGGCCCCGGCGGCGGAAAAAAAGAAGGAGGAGGAGGAGGAGGAGGAGGAGAAGGAGGAGGAGGCGGGGGGAGGAGGAGGAGGAGGAGGAGGAGGAGGAGGAGGAGAGTGAGGAGGAGTGAGGGGGGAGGAGGAGGAGGGGAGGGAGGAGGCGGAGGAGGGGAGAGGAGGAGGAGAGGAGGAGGAGGAGGAGGAGGAGGAGGAGGAGGAGGAGGAGGAGGAGGAGGAGCGAGGAGGAGGAGGAGGCCCCAGGCGGTTGAGGAGCACGAGCCTCCTCCCGCAGCGGAGGCACACCGCCGATCTCGGCGGCAATGCCGGCCGCCAGGGGCCTCCGAATGACCGCCCCCTGGGCCGAGCCCCTCAAAGGGGACACGCCGAGGCCCCCCCACGGGGCAGCTTCCAGGGGCTGCCCGCGCACGGCCCTCCAGGCTTAAGTCGGGCCTGTCCCTCTACGGGAGGAACAAGCAAAAAAAACAGAAAAATGCTCAGATGGGCGATGTTTGGAGAATCTCTGGACTATTTGGGGCATTTCTTGCGTACTTTCAATTTTTCGTCCAAAATCCGCCTGTAGGGGGACCTGCCCAACCTAACTCCAGGCCTGAGCGCGGCTCCCCCCCTCGCGGCCTTGTCTCCGAGGCCGAGCCTGTCCGGGTCCAGCGAGCTCTCCTCGCAGAAGGCCTCGCGGCGGCTCGCGGGTCTCTCGCCTGCCCTGGTGGTCGAGCGCGTGCCCGGTCCCACGGCCCCCCTCCGGGTCGCGAGTCGGAGCGCGACGGAAGGTCCTGGGGCAATCGCGCGGCCTCCGGGGGGCCCTTGCCGCGGGCCCGGGAAAAGATGACTACCTGCCAGCCCACCCCAACCCAACCCGAAGACCCGAATTTCGGGTTGGGGGGGGTACGGGTTCCACATTTGGTTTTTGAATGTTCCTCGCCCCCCCCCCCCCTGGAAATGGAGGGCTGATTGAGGCCTTCGGGTTGGGTTGGGGTGGTTTGGTGGGTGGTGAAAGGACGACTCGGGATGAAAAGCCGGTCCTGGGGAATGGGTCCAGACCTCTGCGGGTCGACGTTGTGAGAATATCAGGAGGTCGGGGTCTGGGATGCACGGTGGGATTCCGGCTGCACGGGCCCTCCCTGGAAACCCAAAGAATAGGCTGGATTCCGGGCCTGTGGGTCCTAAGACTCTCGGCGAAGACTCTCGAACCCAAGAAAACTGGGATACCCCACCAAGGTGTGAGCGGCGAGTCGTTGATGCGCGTCCCGACTGTACGCTTCTCGGGCCTAGCTGCTCACCCGAACCACCCTGTCAAACGAAGGGAAAGAGAGAGAGAGAGAGAAAGAAAGAAAGAAGGAAAGAAAGAAAGAAACATGGTCGACCCACGAACCCAACAAGGAATTGAGAACTGCGAGGCATGGAACCGTTTCTAAGGACCTCAATTGCATATGCAACTGGGCGATGCCAGGGGGACATGCCAGGGGGACATGCCAGGGGGACGCGCCGCGAAACGTCCCAAGGGACGCGCCAGGAGACATGCCAGGGGACGTGCCCTTGGGACGCACCGCGGGACGTGCCAGGGGGACGCGCTACGGAACGAGCCAATGGACGTGCCACCGGGGGACGCGCCGCGCGACGCGCCAGGGGGACTCGCCACGGGACGCGCCGCGGGACGTGCCCGGGAACGTGCCAGGCGACGCGCCCGGGGACGTGCCAGGCAACGCGTCGGGGGAGCCGGGCTCCGAGGCAAGCCCCTGTTTCTGCTCCCCCCCCCAAAAAAAAAACGGTTGCCTCCCCCCCCGTCCTTCCCCCCAGACACCGCGGCATCGGAAAGGG